GGCTTCGGAGTTTCGGGTCCAGGAGCTTCGGGCTTTAGGTTTAGTGGATTCGGGCCGAAGGTTTCGATCCAGGCTTTGGGGCTTCGGGCCTTTTGCCACAGATGCCCTGCAGGCTCCCTTGGTTTGAAGCCGCTACAGACGGTGACACGCACCACACATTCAGGGAGCAACGAGAAGTCAGACATTAGTATCACGAATCTAGATGTATCACTGTTATTACTATGCAGAGTAGCTTAGAAACCCTGCTACTGCTGCTGCTGTTGCTACTGCTGGTGCTGCTGGTGCTGCTGGTACTGCTACCACGGCTACGACCGCTACTGCCGCTGCCACTGCCACTCGCACTAACAGTAGCACTGGCACTTCTGTAGCACTAGATCTAGCACTGCCACTAACGCAGGTACCATCACTAGGATGACTGCCATCACTTCTAGTACGACTACCACCACCCCTATCTCCACCCCGACCCCTGCTCCTGCTCCTACTCCGACTCCGACTCCTACCCCTACTCCTACTCCTATTCCTACTCCTACTCCTCCTACTCCTACTCCTACACCCCTACCCACAGGCTGTTGGGAGTGAGGCAAACCGCAACAGTCTGCACACCAGTGGCCAGGTGTGGGGCATGCTGCTTGGGGTGGTTTCCTGGTTGCTTCACCCACTACCGCCCAAGGTCCCTTCAGGCCAACATGCCGCGTGCTCCCGGCAAATGACAGCGGGGCGATGAGCTAATGCGCTCGCTGGGGGACTGGTATCGCAGCAGCAGTGGATCAGCAGACAGCTGGCCACCGTTCGGGCGACTGGCAGCAGGATGGCGTAAACTCGAGCATGCACTGCGTTCTGTGACGCCTCCAGCATTGCCGAGTTATACCGTCCAAGGAGGGGAGGCCAGCTAGCTAGCAGCAGCACCTTGAACACATGCAGAATGACTGCGCAATCAATCATGGGCCACATGTTGTCAAGATAGCCATCCCAGTGAAGAGGGAGCTCGTTTCGTCGTTCCGACATTGTGCGGACCTGGTTAACCGGGCTGTCGCGGGCCAATCTAGTCCGAAATGGTCCGCTCTGGATGCTTGCACGGACACGCGTCCTGAAAGACAGCGGAGACCTGGATATTCAATCTGCCTTTTCCTCTGTGACGGCACCGTCACTTGTGGGTTGTAGTGTGACATTCTCACGTTGTTGTCTTCCTGGCATGAGAAGCGGCGCCAGGCTCGTGTAATGTGATCGATTGCTTCGGTGGCTAGGCAATAAGCTGACAAGCTTTGCACAGCTCGCTCTGCAGCTTTGCAGTGCAGACTAAAGCCTTTGCAAAGTTGGCCTGATGCGGGCAAGCTGCTTGAGGATTCATGCAAACATCCACTGCAGTAAGTGAAGCAAGATACACAAACGGACACGGAGGCACTGCTAGCCATTGTCATAACCCGTGCCCGTGAATTCGTTGTCTGGGAGGTGTGTGATGCACCGCTACCCCTACCCACAGGCTGTTGGGAGTGAGGCAAACCGCAACAGTCTGCACACCAGTGGCCAGGTGTGGGGCATGCTGCTTGGGGTGGTTTCCTGGTTGCTTCACCCACTACCGCCCAAGGTCCCTTCAGGCCAACATGCCGCGTGCTCCCGGCAAATGACAGCGGGGCGATGAGCTAATGCGCTCGCTGGGGGACTGGTATCGCAGCAACAGTGGATCAGCAGACAGCTGGCCACCGTTCGGGCGACTGGCAGCAGGACAGCGTAAACTCGAGCATGCACTGCGTTCTGTGACGCCTCCAGCATTGCCGAGTTATACCGTCCAAGGAGGGGAGGCCAGCTAGCTAGCAGCAGCACCTTGAACACATGCAGAATGACTGCGCAATCAATCATTGGGCCACATGTTGTCAAGATAGCCATCCCAGTGAAGAGGGAGCTCGTTTCGTCGTTCCGACATTGTGCGGACCTGGTTAACCGGGCTGTCGCGGGCCAATCTAGTCCGAAATGGTCCACTCTGGATGCTTGCACGGATACGCGTCCTGAAAGACAGCAGAGACCTGGATATTCAATCTCCCTTTTCCTCTGTGACGGCACCGTCACTTGTGGGTTGTAGTGTGACATTCTCACGTTGTTGTCTTCCTGGCATGAGAAGCGGCGCCAGGCTCGTGTAATGTGATCGATTGCTTCGGTGGCTAGGCAATAAGCTGACAAGCTTTGCACAGCTCGCTCTGCAGCTTTGCAGTGCAGACTAAAGCCTTTGCAAAGTTGGCCTGATGCGGGCAAGCTGCTTGAGGATTCATGCAAACACCCACTGCAGTAAGTGAAGCAAGATACACAAACGGACACGGAGGCACTGCTAGCCATTGTCATAACCCGTGCCCGTGAATTCGTTGTCTGGGAGGTGTGTGATGCACCGCTACCCCTACCCACAGGCTGTTGGGAGTGAGGCAAACCGCAACAGTCTGCACACCAGTGGCCAGGTGTGGGGCATGCTGCTTGGGGTGGTTTCCTGGTTGCTTCACCCACTACCGCCCAAGGTCCCTTCAGGCCAACATGCCGCGTGCTCCCGGCAAATGACAGCGGGGCGATGAGCTAATGCGCTCGCTGGGGGACTGGTATCGCAGCAACAGTGGATCAGCAGACAGCTGGCCACCGTTCGGGCGACTGGCAGCAGGACAGCGTAAACTCGAGCATGCACTGCGTTCTGTGACGCCTCCAGCATTGCCGAGTTATACCGTCCAAGGAGGGGAGGCCTTTCGGGTTCATTGTAGCCGGCATGCCATGGGCCGATCCAGTCCAACATGTTCTTTCTTATCGCTTACAGTTCTGTGAGCTGACGACAATGACATTGATTCATTTTGTTTCCGCAGGGGACGTGTCGCCACTTGCCCAGCATCGTCACAGCGCCTTCGGGGAACATGATTCTAGGAGGTTGCAGTTTGCTGCATGAAGTTTGACATTCTGATCAGGTTGTGTTGCTGGCATGAGCCGCGGCATGCGATCCGCTATTTATCATTGCCTCTCTGTCCCGAAAACCTGATCTTCGCGTCTAGCTTCCAAGCAGACATTAACGCTCAGACATTCGGCCCTACCCGCAGGCAGCTTGAAGTGCAGATGGGAACAAGGGCCTGTACACCATTGGCCAGGTGTGGGGCAAGCCACGTGTGAGGATCCTCGCCAGAGTCAGCACCTGGCGCATCCCGAGTCCTTTGAGGCCAACGTGCTGTGCACTTCAGGCATATGACAGTGAGGCGATGGGCTAAAGCGCTCACTGGGGGCTATCGGTACACCTGCGAGGAGCCCCGATGTGCGGCGTGCCTCGAGGATAACCGGCATGTGGCGAGCAGGGGAGGCCGTTCGTAGACATCCAGAGCCAAAAGGCGTCGCAGTCAACAATGCAGCTCGTGGCTTGATGACCTTTGATGTGGCTCATGTGACTCATGCCTGTTCATGCGGGAGGGTGTGTCCCATGTTGGTGCTGACAGTGACACTCATACTGTGGCACAGACAGACAGCAACAGACAGGCAGGAAGGCGGGCAGTCAGACAGACGCACAGAGAGACAAAGTCGCGGCTGAGAAACTCTTGAACTTAACAAAGAGTGCACTGACGCGCCCTGAACCTCCTACACCTTAGACCCTAAATCTGAAGCGGTTAAGCATCAGGTCTGGTGTCTTGGGGACTTCCTCCGGTCCTACCTGCCGCAGGCAAAGCAGATTGACGTCGAGTGGATTGTGCTTTCGATACTAGCACGTGGAGACGCTACTGCAAGTTGGTCAGTGGTGGTACGCAAGATTCCTGCTCTATATGACTCTATGATGGGGAAAACTATGGGACAGATCCTTCAGCGGAAGCTGTCTGTCACTACAAGGCTCAAGGTCTTTGTGGAGTTGAGGCTTCGTGTTGGCGCAAAACACGGCCGTGCTGTTTTGCGGCGTTACCCCGAAGCAATATATGTTGGCACCATCAGTTTCCGAATTTCAATTAATTGCCTACTCCATGTCGGCAACAGGAAGTTGTCGCAGAAGGTGAAGAGCAGCGCATCACAGAGCACGGCAGTTAACAGGCAAAGTGGTGCTGCACATGATATCATGCGTAAAGGCAGGTGTTCAGCAAAGTGAGTTTCAGCATGTACCTTGCTCGTGTCGCAGCCAGCTATACCCGACAAGCCCGAAGCCTCAACCGCATGCCACACAAGCCAAGTCATGACCACCCGCTTGTGCCACTTTTCTGCGCCTTCCCGTGCGATGCGACGCCCTTCATGTCATGTCAAGCACGGTTTCGGCGAGCACGGACATTGGATTTTGTGCAGTGTGAGGTGGGAAGAGCCGCAGTACAGGCGTGTGATGCCAACACGGTCAAGACGTGATGCCTCCTGGAGCCCCCAACCAAGAATCACAAAATCCCTTTCGAAGGGTTCCTGACAGCCGACAGCAGCTGTTTATGGAAGGCTGCGGACACGGCTCTTAAAAAAGAGCTGGAGGAGCCGCGGAGGGGGCATGGACAGAAGAGCCGGACCATGTTAGACTGGTAGAACAAACAGGCCGTCCTCGCACGAGTCGGAGAAGCGAGATGGGTGAGGGGTTTCTCCTTGTGTTGTGCCAACGTAGTGCCATGCAGGTGGTCCGGGTACAGTCCCTAGCCCCAATCCCTGAACCCTAGACCTTAAACATTAAAAAAACAAAAGACCTTAAACAGATCTTGAATTTTCGTCCGGAGCCCCAAACCTTGTAAACCCTGAATTTAGTCGGGGTTGGCATTGTTGACATCCTTGCTTTTCTGAGACTTGTTGTAGGTGCTGAGCTTTGGAATTAGGCTTCGCGTGTTCAGGCGGGGTTCAAGGTTTCGGGGCTGAGGTTCAGGGAATTGAGGGCTGTAGATTTGGGGGGGTTTAGGGTGCAGGGTCTCGGGTTGTGGAGAAAAATTGCAGTTTCTGGACCCTAGGCCCGAAACCGCCAAAATCTTACCCCCCGTCGACCTCCGTGTTTATCGTGTGCAGAGGACCTCGACTCCCTCCGCGTGAAGCAGGCGCAGCGAATGGACGACGGCAGCTTCGTCCAGGCTTCCCCCGGAGTGTCTTGTGTGCTTGCTTGCCTGTTTGCCTGTTTGACTGTTTGCTTGTTTGCTTGCTTGCTTGCTTGCTTGCTTGCTTGTGTGCTTGTGTGTTTGCATGCTTGCTGGTTTGCTCGTTTGTATTTGGCCGTTTGTTTGTTTGTTTATTTGTTTGGTTATTTGTTTGTTTGTTGTTTTGCTTGTTTGTTTGTGTCTGTGTGTGATGTTTGTGCGGGTGGTTGTTAGTTTTTTTCTTGTTTGTTTGCTCGGTCGTTTGGGAACCGGAACGATTTCCTTGAGTCCCAATCAAAAACGCGTATATAAAGCACGAGTAAGAGCTTATAAACGCCTTCAGACCTTGATCTGCGTCTCTGCCGCCAGTGGAAAACCCCGAGCCCGGCCAACTCTCATGCGGGGCGTCGCTGTGACATCAAAACAAACTGCTTCCGCTGTAGGGCGGTGGATGAGTCAAGGGGTGTACAAGGGCCATAGCCCTAATCAGAACATCATCGCAGTATAAGCGGACAAAGCCACCAGGGCCACCATAGCATTCGCTGAAGATGATGGAAGCAAGAGTCATCGTGACCGGTAGCATATGAAACACGGAACTACAGGAGTTGCTGTAGTGGGGCAGTGGGAGTGTGGCATCTTTGATAGGGAACAGCAAGGCATCAACACCTCAACGATGTGGGGCGTAGCGGTTGAGCGAGGATTTGATGGTTGAGACGGTAGACATCGGTAGACTGTAGGAGCTGAGGGGTTTAGGGGTTCGTTTCGATGAGCGGCGAAGGAGATGCAAAGCCACCGCGGAGTCCTCGGTTGCCAGGGGTGATTAGGCAAAGACCCCTGATGCAGGGGCATGAATTATCAGTCATGCTATTCTTTGGGCGGTGTCCCAGCATGCCATGGTATCAAATCGACCCCAAACCCTTGTTCCAATGATGAAGACCGCTGTCTCAAAAAGCTGAAGGCCCGAAACCCCAGACCTCAGAAGGGTTCAAATTTTAGGGGTTTGCAGTCTACCCTGTTTAGCTGTTATCTGGACGCGCGGGCGCACACCCGTGCACCAGGATACATTGAGAGAGGTGGAAGACAAGACGGCAGATGCGCCGATGCTTGTAGCTTGTGTGTATAAGCATACGCAATGCAAGCGGAGGGATCCGTGGTGTCGAAACACACATGGGTGGTTGTCAAAATTAAGGTCCCTTTTTCGGTACCCCTAAATAATCGGTGCCGTATTATGTTAGGGATCCAAAAAGGGACCATAATTTTGACAACCACCCACATACATGCATGCATGTAGGCATGCATGCAGGCAGACATACATGTACACATCCACACATCCATACGTCCGTGCATCCATCCACATACGTAAATACATACGTACATACATACAAGTATATATATATATATACATACATATATATATATATATATATATAGAGGCATTCACACACATCCGGGTATATGTTTACGCTGCTGCGTAAATACATAAGCTGAAGAGTATAGAGTATAGACAGGTTGTTCGGTACAAAAGAGGGGAGATGGGCCGAAGAGTAAAACCGCAAGAGAAAGATGAAGGTCGTTCCGGTCTCCAAGCCGGCGGCTTGCGCACAGTGGGTCTTTCGAAACGTGTATCTCCGGACTTTACAAGGTGTGTTCCTTTATTCATTCGCTGTTTGTGTTGCAAGCTGTAATATGATGCCTCTCCCTGAACCCTAATTCCGAATCCACGGGGCTAATCTTCCACACTCCTCCTAGAGGATTCTAGCTCTGTCGACATAGGCGGATGGAAAAAGAAGTCAAACCAAAAGACTCCAAGTAGACTGAAAACCCCAAACTCGACTAAACCCAAGAAGCCCCGCTACGTACATGGTCAGGGAGATTGTGACGAGTGATGTGATGGAGATGGTTGACCAACAGGGATCGACGTAGCTGTTCCAGCTTTCTCCACTGCAGGAGAGAAAGAGGTCCAGTAAAGAATACCCAACCCGACAACCCTAAACCCCCAAATCCCAAAGACCAAAACCCCCTAAGCAGCTCAAGGCGCCTCGGCCGCTGCCTGGCTGGCTGCAGTGGCCACGCCGCCCCCGAGAGCCAGCTCAGTGAGTCTCGAGCCTAGGGCATCTTCTTTCCTCTTGGCTTGGGTTTAGGGTCTTCGGGATTTCCGGTTCAGGGTTTAGGTTTTAGGGTTACTACGACGGTTTCTGTAAAGGGTTTCGATTGGGTTTTCATATTCCGGATGCCTTGCAGAAGTAGGGGCCCTTATGACAAGAATCCTGTCGTTCAGGATTCTTTATAGCCTGTCCGGGGTTCACGGCAGCTCAGGGTTTCGGATTTGGGGGGCTTCGCTCTTTGGCACCTCAGGCCAGGACCTGCGGTCTGCAACAGACGTGCTGCGGCGTGGCTTGGATGTGGCCTTGCGCACCTCGGCCTACGATGGGCTTTCAGGGTACTGGGGGGCACAGTTCGGAGGTTTCTTCGTTCGCGGGTTCAGGGTTCAGAGACCAGGAATCCTTGGAAAAAGCTCGGAAGTTTCCTAAAGCCCTCAACCTGAAAAGGAGCCTTCCGCACGCCGTCTGACGTAGTCCTCTCGGGTTCGCGGCTCCGAGACGACCTCGGAACCATGATTCTGAATCTCTTCAATCCCCTGAGTGAACACTGAGCCTCGCGGTCCACTGCGAAGCCTACCAGCCTGAAAATTAAAGAGTTTCCGCAGCAGAAGAGAAAGACGAGCCATGGCTTAAAAGGACCCAAAGCCTCATGTCAGACAACTCTACATGATCCGCTGCACTGACGGATTGTCCCGAAGAGTTCTCATGTCGAGGTTTGGTTAAGGTAGGCGGTTCGTCTTAGCTCGGCGGACATAGGGTTCATGGGTGCAAGACTGTCTTCTAGCTCCTAACTCCATGATACACCCCGAGCCTCCAATCATTCGTCTCCCTCTTAAGTAGCCCTCGATACTGCAAAGCAAGCCTCCTTGCAGGTGTCCGCATCTTGTTGGAGGTGCACCCGTCTGCACCTTGTGTGAGTCATGCAGAACTATGCATGAGGCCGTCTTCAACTATCCTAGGATGTCATTCTCAGTGTCTTCGCATATTACACAAACACGAATGCTCCAGAACTTCAAGCAGTATGTTCGCGCCTCTGTCGGGCCGGCCCGTCGAAGTTTGCAGGGGCTCAAATTCATATTGCTGCTGCTCCTACTTACTAGTTCTAATTCTTGCGTTCTTGTTGCTGCCATGGTCTTTCCTGCTGTTGCTTCTGAGCTGACATGTCTCGCAGTCGCAGACCTTTTCCCTCCCACCAGTGCTGCTACTGCTGCCGCTGATGCTGCTGTTAATAACAGTACTAATCAGAGTCATGATAAAAAGGAACAACAACACCGGCTACCGCTGCTGCTGATGATGCTCCTCCAACAACTATGACACACCACGATAATGCTTCTCCGGATTCTGCTGCTTTTACTTCCACGAGTTGATCGTACAGGCAAAAGCATACACGAAAAAGCAAGCCCGCCACGGTGTACCCTTCTGCACGGATACGACTACCACAACTACTGCCACCATTGCCACCACGACCCCACTCGCATGCCAACTACGACACTGCCGACCATGTGTGATGCGGCGCAGGAGTACCTCGTTCTGCACGTGCTCTGCTCAGACTGCCTTAAGGGACTCAGGATGTGTTTCGGCATCCAAGCATTCTGGGGTTTGGGGGCATCCAGGTATTTGGGGGTCAGGAGACCTTTCGAGTTCAGGATCGTGGGTTCAGAGGTCAGGGTCTCGGATCGAGGGGTCAATTGAGGGGATGGTTCGAGTGTCGTCTTTTGGATGTTATTTTTGTCTCAGCATTCGGATTTGCTGTCTTAAGGCATGCCTGCAGATGCTCGTCTTCGACCATGACCACCGGTCTGCGATCTGCGAATCAATCCCCGGAATCAGTCGAGTAGTACCCCACATCCCAAACCCCAAACCCCTACTGTATAAAGACAAAGAAACCCAAAGCCTCAAGGCTCCAAGCACCAAGATCCCAAGGTGCGGGAAGGCGTACCGGTGCCCCGGGCCGTGCTGCCCAGCGTAGCATTGGGCTTCCAGCTCCTGACGACGTTGCAGGCGCCTGCCTTCCAAGCTTCACGTCTTCTTACCCTAAGTTTCTAAGTCCGACTTAGCAGTTCAAAGCTATTGTTCAGGAGTCTTATGATGGTGGTCACCATTGTCATGAAGACGCTTTGGTTAAGGTTTCCCAGTCACAGCACCACCAGATCTGGATTGTGTTTTCAGGGCTCGCGACTTGAGGCCCATGATGGCGATCAGATGCATAAGGAGTCTTTGGAGAAGCAGGTTGTGGGGTGAAAGATTTCGGGCTTTGCCATGTCTTTCCACGGTTTAGGGCTTGCACGCACATTGCTTGTATGGCAGCTGGCCCATTGCTTTCGCAGAATGATAAGGGCATGCAGAAGATCAGAGAAGAGAGCTGAGAATGAGAGTTTGAGGTCTTTATCTGCTATCGGAAGAATCCTACGATTCAGAGTTCCCATGGGCCGTATTGTCGAAAAGTCCCAGAAGTGCAGGCGGCTTAATAGCACCATCATCTCACATGCAGTTAACCCTCCCATCACCCTTCGCCTGAGACCCTAAACCCCAAACCCCTAAACCCCTAAACCCTAAACCCTAAACCCCCCTGAAGCTCCAAGCCTGAAAGCCCCCTGCAAAGGGGGCCCATCGAGACTGCTCTTCGGAAGTTGCCGTTGGCTCTGCCAGGCAGCACAAGCGGAGGCTATGAGGAGAAGGTAAAGGCAGCAAAGTAATCATCTGAAGAGGAACAGAAACGATGATCACCACTACGATGGTGGAGATGTGGATGATCACCATCATCCTACCGGTATGTTCGAAGGGCAGCGAAAGCAGTAGTTATCACATGATCAGCTCATCATCATCATCGTCACCATCATCATCGGCAGCATCATGATCACCATCGACATAAACCACCATCATGACCATCAGGACAGGTCGTAATCACATGAGCGGAATGCAGGTACGGCAGATTCCATAATTTTGCCAGCGCTGCCTACAATGAGCACAGTGCTCCCAATACTGGAATGTGTCAGATATATCTTCGTCGTGGGAGGCCGAGAAGCGCTCCTAGCCATGTAGCTTACACACTCAGACAATCATCTGACAGCTGGGTGTCTCCGGTTGTTGCCATGGCGAGAAAGCTTGGGTGGCGCGTGGCGCTCTGGGTTTGTGCGTGGCAAGCCGAACCTGCAACTCGGCGTACAGCATAATCAGCACAATCGATGCGGTGCATGGTCTAAACCTGCTGTTGTTGCAAGAGTAGGATATGCTGTTGATGTCTGGGAGTTGTTTTGGCTGATTCTCCAAGGTATTGGCAGACCTTGTTGTGGACACTGCCAACGGACCCGTTGCTTGGCCCATCATCTTTGAAGCCAGGCTTCAGGAGCTTTCTGACTGTACTTGTCAAGACTAAGTCAGAAAATTCTGGGACGCCCTCCTCTCCGAAGCTACGGCAGCTACGGTTTAGGGTTCAGGGGTTTAGGGTTTAGGGATAGTGTCTTCAAAGCATCAAAAAGCTTGTCGAGTCTGCAGTGAGGGTTCAGGACGGCGGCCTTGTGTCCTTCAAGATGCTTGTTGCCTGGGGGAAGTCTTATGGGGGTTTAGTGGGTCCTACTCTTTTTGGCGTTAGGGTACCATGTTAGGGTCCCCTATTTCAAGGAAACTCCCTTATGGGCATGATAACACCGACTTGTCAGAAGAACACTGCACGGAAGGACCGGCCTGCAAGGACCGCAGCGCACGCAACTATCCGACTGCCCAAACGCTAAATGCTAATGCGGTCTTCAGCAACTCCCTGGACGCGAAGCTCAAAACTTCAACCGCAAAGCGCGAAGAGATGTGTCAATTCTGCGCATGCTTAGGCTGAATGCTTTCATGTGACACCTCGTAGGCGCCAGCCGGGCACCCACAGTAGTCACGGTGGTGGTAGTAGTAATGACGACCAGTATCGGCATAAGTGCGGCAGACAAGGCAGCCGTCATAGCAGGATGCCTTGCGGCTGCGGGTTTCTCTTGCTGCTGTGGCCCCGCTCTTCGTCCGAACGTTAATGAAGATCCATGCACCCCAGGTCCAGGGCGTGTACCGGGACGTTGCGGAGAAGACAGCTTCATGGTGCGATCCGGGCACAAAACGCAAGGGGTAATGGCTTTTCATGTGTTCAGCACGATATCTTGATGGGTTCGAGGTTGTTGGACAATAGTAGAGCTCTTTGCCGGGGGTTTCAGAATGTCATGGAGGCCTATGGCGTTTACACGTTACATGGGGAACAGGGACGAAACCAAGTTCAGGCTACAGGACCAAGATTCACCAACGACGGCTTCGCGGCGATTTCCCGTGCCCTGAAGCTCAATCTAGTCTAGTTCAGCCGCGATCTCCAAGTTTCGGGATAGGTTTAGTAACACCCCGAAACACCACGCAGTCCTAAACCTACCCAAACCGTCGGCAGTGACTAAGATTGCGTTTGCGTGCCTGAAACATACTCCAGGTATTCGGGCTTGTCCATGAGAGCTGAAGCCAAAAGCCACTGTATCGTGCAGTCTCAGAAGACTTAAGGGACTACTGCAATGGTTGCGGTGTTGATCACCTGTTATGATTGCTGTAATGCGAGCATAACGATCTCCGTCATATTGATCACCATCGTGACAATGGTTGTTACCATGTAGCATAGTATAATGGTTGAGTTTTGGGAGGTGGGGCCTTCCCTACGCTGAGCCACCGACCGAAGAGCGCCGTTTCAAGGCCGGCAAGTTCGTTTTTAAGTGCGAAACTCGGAGTACAAGTGCCTAAGCCCCAAACCCTTCCAAACTTATAAGCTCTTACTCGCGATCCTGAAGCCAGGAACGGGCTCTGAAATGTAGTTGTCGAGGGAGATTTGGGGCAGGCTTATGCCTTCTTTGCACTTCCTGTACACGTGGGGACGAGGATGTGGGTGGCCGCATAATGAATGACCCATGAAATTTTGAGCAAATGCAGGTTTGTCCAGCCTTGACATTTCTTTTGAATACCCCCCCCCCCCCCCTCCCCTGCCCCCGAAAGCTGTCATAGCATCGTGGCAGCTGGGTGCTGAGCCCGTAGGCCTGCTCATGCGATGTCGCCGTGAACTTCAGAGCCCCGAATCCCCAGACCTTACACCGCCTACCAGAAACTCCGAGGCCCGGAACCCAAAACCCCGAGATATGAGGACCCTAAGAAACCCTGAGCCCTGAAGCTGACATGGGAGTTTCCGAAAATTAGGGGTACATTATTTTGGGGTCCTGATAATATGGATCCTACTATATAGGGTACTATATTAGGGTCCCCTATTTTCGGAAACTCCCACATGGTAAAACCCGGAGACCTCAAAAGTAGGCCACCAGGGGCCCCGGAAGCTACGAACTCGGAACGCCCCCGAGGCGCCAGAGCCCTTCCTTGGATCTTGGAGCCTTGGAGTTTCCCCATGAGTTTGGGTTCAGGGTTTTTTTGGGGGATTCGGGGTTTAGGGGATTAGGGATGAGGGCTTTTTGGGGTCTGGGTTTCGCGGGTTTACGGGTTGCGGGTTTGGAGATTAGGGTGTTTTTAGGGTTTAAAGGTTTAGGGCTGAGCGTTGTTTTTGATACCACAGAATATGGTAGCCTTACATGGTTCCTTCTAAGGTAAGGGGCCCTTATACCACCCGCGAAGAGAGGGATGGTTCGTTCTGCGCACAGCCTTCGCCCAGGACTGAGCCGCGCCAGGCCGTCTGGGATTGCTCAAAGGTCCAGGGTTGTAGGTCAGGGCTTCAGGTTCGAGCGGTTGCAGGTTTAGGCTTTTTTGGGCTGCACGTGTTCCGGTGCTAGGGTGCAGGGTCTCAGTTAAGGTGTAGGGTCTCGGTTCTGACACGATAGTCCTGTGCCTGTACACGGAAGGTAGTGACAGTCTGACCAAGATGGTGATGCTGATGATGAAGATCTTCTCGTGTTTCTTGAACGTACTGTGGCTGGGCTGGGATGTGGGCAAAGTTGCCCAAAAGGCTTTGGAGGTCAACGTGCGCTTCAAAGTCATGTGCTGTAGCCGGTACGCTGGGCTGCTGGACCCTACAGTATCAGCCCGAAGCTGCACAAGAGGCCAAGAAACCCTCAACCCTAAACTCCCACGCTCTACGGCCCACACCCTCAGCCGTAGCCTTGGGGTTGGAGAGGCCACGAGGATACCAGCGGAGTGCACGCAGTCGGCTGGACGGTCTGTCAGCGGCCAGGAGGATTGCCTTTACTTGAATGTGCCTTTGAAGCAGTACGGTTTCGGTTCAGGGGCTCTATAAGCCCTAGACCCTGAACCACCCAGCCCCTTGACCCGAAGCCCCTCAACCGTGAACCCTGCACCCTCACCTTAGACTCCCATGGTTTAGGAGACAACAGGGCTCAAGGCTTAGGGCTTAGGGGCCAGGCTAAAAGGCTTCGTCGCTGCCTAGGCTTTAGGGTTTAAGAGTTTAAGGTTTAGACTACAGTACTGTCTTCGTCTTTGGTTACGGCAGGTGGATGTGCAAAGGTTCAGGCCTCTCAGCCCCCGTCAGCACTACCAGACTTCTAGGCTTTGTTGGGGCCTCGGAGTTGTGAGAAGTGCTGCGTGTGGTGATCGAAAGGTTCCTGCGAGAACGTTAGAAACGAGACATATATTGCAGATTCCACTGACGCTTTTGCAGTGGAATCGGTTCCGCCTCAAACGCTCAGGAGGTTTCTTGACCCCTCCGAGCATGAAGAGTTGAAGAGCAAGCCACTACTGCGCCAACATGCCGAAGCCCTCAAGCATAATATAGGGGCCTAAACTAACTACCAAGCCAATACTATTTTTTGGGATTCCTTCTTACAATTATAATACAATGCCGAAATTCAATTCTAACTATCAAGGCCCCTATATTAGCAACTCTGAGGTTCACGCCCCTGTGCCCGACAGAACGACATCCCGGCCGGTTCTCGTGTGGCTCTACGGTGGTGGCAGCCCGGCTGCAGATGGAAGTTCGAGGGTTTGGAGCCCAGAGTTGCTTTTGATTTTGTGGTTTGCGTCTGTAGGGATGCAGAGCCGGG